TATTAAATCATTTAACCAATCCATTGGTTTGAGGATGATATAGCATGGATAATAAATATCTTATCTCAAATTGCTTAAGTAATCTATCTACTATTTTATTGCGAAAATAAGCTCTTCTATCAGGCAAAATTTGTTTTGGACATCTATGTTTACAGATAATAACTTGATAGATGAATTCTGCTACATGTTTTCCAGTAGCTTCATAGATTGCTTCTTCTTCAGGTCATTTGATAAAGTAATCTGTCGTAATGATAATATACTTGTTTTCTTGTTTGGTAATTGATAAGAGTCCTATAATGTCTATACTGATTCTAGAAAATAGTTCTTAACAGAAATGGGATACAAGAGTCCTGGTGTTCTGTATCTTCCATGTTTTTGGCATAAATTACATGTTTGGATGTAATCTTTAATATTTTCAAACATTTTAGGCCAGTAATATTGATTATGAATTTTCTCAAAGGTTTTTTCAATTCCCAAGTGTGCATCAGTAGGATTATTATACATTAAATAAAATATTGCTTCAATTTCATGTTTTTGAATAACTTTGAGTAATTGATTTTGGGGTTTTCTTCTTCTGTCTTTCTTATAAAGTTGGTTATTTTGACTTTAAAAAATTTGCTTTGTGCTTGTAACCATTTTTGTTAATTGTTATTTATGTTTGTTGGTAATTTATTATTAAGAATATAATTTTCAATTGATAATATTGTTATGTTTTCATATTGTTGAAGTTTGGCTGCCAGGACATTGACTACCTAGTCTGAATTTTGTTTTGTGTCAGATTTCTTTAATGATTTTTTCAAGAATGTTCTAATAGTAGATGTCAGGATTGGTATCTGTCCACCAGATTGAATTGCAAAGATAATTTTCAGAATAACTATTGAATTCTTTTCTATAGTATTTAAAAGGTTGTTCAAGTTTTGGTAACCACCAATAATTATCAGACAGTTGGATTTGTTCTTCAAATTCTTCATCACTCAATCTTGTTCTTGGAATTTGATGGAAGTTATAATCACAATGTTGATGTTGAAATTTTCTTTTTGGAGAAGGATGAGAATGAATTTTATCCAGAATGATTTGAGTAAATTGAGTTATCATTAATTGGATATCATCTGCTCTTTGTTTTCTTTTACAGGTGCATTCATATTTGAAAGATTAACTGTTTTGGTCAGATAATTTCCTACACCAGTTGCAGAAGGTATAGAAGTAATGATCCTTACTTTTTTCTTTATAAATAGGACAGAATCTTCCTGCAATAAACCATTCAACTTTGTAAAGTGATTCTTCATGATCAGGAGCATAGAATGTGACAGAATTAGCAGTTGTGAAACTATAATCAGAGTTTCAGTTATCATTATTTTCTTGAAGTATACAGATAGGTTCTTCTGTTTCATATATGCGTGATATGGCATTAGCATTGTTATGTTTTCTTCTGGCTCTATGAATAACAGTATAATTGTAAGGTCTAGATGTAGGATTTATCAGGCTTTTCTTCCTTTAAGTTTAGATGTCTTTAACCATTGGAGGGCAGAGTGGTCAGTTATCAGATAAAAGTAATTAGTTCTGAGATATTGATGAAAGTATTCAACAGTCCAGATGACTGCTAGATATTCTTGTTCATGGTAGAATAGTTTAACTTAGGTTTAGTTAGACTTATACTAGTATATGCAATGGCGTATTTAAGAATGGATCCCTAAACTATTTAGCATATAAAATTTTGCAAATCAATTATATCTCTTTTAAAGGGATATAATTATTTATTCATTACTTTAATAAAGACATAATTCAAAAAACACTTGGATCAAGGGCCTAAATTGCAAAAAACCTTTGTAAGTGATTTTTCTTAAATCTTATATTTAAAAAAAAACTTTTTTAATAGTGAAGGACATTTGAATATTGTCCTCATCTTTAATTTAGGAACTCATATTTAGGTATATTCTTGTTTTCCTTCTCATTAAGCAAGCAAAGCTTCTAATCCAGTACTAGAAGCATCTGTGAAGAGATAAAATGGTTGGTTGAAATCAGAATATCTCAAAATTGATACAGAAATTAAGTATCGTTTTAGCATTTGGAATGCTGTTTCTTGTGTTTCAGTTTATTTAAAGAGTACTTGTTTTTTTAAAAGTTCATTCAATGATTTGGTGATGGTTGAAAAGTTGGCAATAAATTTGTGGTAGTAGAATACTAATCCTAGGAATTTTTTAAGTTGTCTGACATTTGTTGATTTTAGAAATCTCTAACTTTGTGTTATAAGAGTTTGACACTGGCAAGAAAGAAGTGACATTTTTTCATATTCAATTTCAAATTTGCTTGATAAAAAATATTTAGGATAATGTTCACATGATTACAATGGTCTTGAAATGTTTTGAAGAAAATAGTAATATTATGCAAATATACTTTTATAAAATTTCTTTTGTAAGATCCAAGAAGTTTATCCATGAGATGTTGAAAAATAGCAGAAGTATTGTACAATCCAAAAGGTATAACATTGAACTTATAAAGTTTATATTTCATGATAAAAGCAATCTTCTTTTTATCTTTATTGCTTATGGCTACTTGCCAAATCAAGACAGGTAAATCATTTGATATCTTAAAAGGAATCTAGAAAATCATCAATTACTGGGAGAGAGTAGACATTCTTTTTTGTAACTTTATTTAATTTTTGGAAATCAATACAAAATTATTTCTTGCCATTCTTCTTTGATATTACTATGGGGCTTCTATTCTATAGTGACATATTGAGTTTTTTACAGAAAAAGATTATTAAAGAGATCCATATAGTTTAAAGATGCCTTGAGCTTATACTCAGCAATTGATAAATTTTAAAAAAGTGTGTGTGAAAAGATAAAGCCAACTTATTGCACCAAGATAGTATATCTTATATTGGAAGATTTAAAAATCAAAGATGCATTAATTAGTACAATTCTATATTCATGTCCAGATATACACACTTTCATTCTTGATTAAAGTAATGGTTTTTCTAATATACCAATTATAGAAATTACAAAATTTTGTTCAAAATTAATACACTTAAGTCTTAATTCATATAAATGTCTCACTAATCAATGTATTACTGAAATTGCTCACTTATATCCAAAACTTAAACATCTTGAGCTTGGTGATTACTTGATTAGTAATAAAGCTATCAAGAAAATAGCTTGCAATTGTACTAATTTGAAATATCTTAGTTTGGAAAGGTGTAAAAGGATTAGTAAAGAAGTAATAAAAACCCTTAATCCAAAAATCCAAACCAAATATCCTAATTATTTTAATGATAAATTCTCAGATTCTGATTTACATTCACTTATTTCAGAATATTCCAATGATGAATTCTCAGATTCTGATCTACCTCCACTTATTTTAGATCTATTAAGGTATCTTTAAGCATTATCTTTAACAGTGAACCTACGAAAATGATTTTTCACAATACATTAATTATAACAGATCTTATTTTTGCAATTAGAGTATCATCTGAATTGACTAATTCAGAACAAATTAATTTATTCCACTACGTCATTATAATGGAGTGATGTCATGTGCAAATCTGTATATATAACAGAATCTCTTTATTTTAAAATTGCAGAATGACATACAGATAAGAAAAAATATGTTTCAGAAAAGATGAATCAATTATACACTTGATCCAACATATCATTCCATTGACCAGGATTTAACCAATCATTATCATCATTCTTCTTATCACATTCTAAATTATCTTTTGACATTTTCCCCCAGGTCTGCTTATCTAATTTTTATTAAAGATATAATTTTGTTAGCCACTGCCTGTCTTCGGCAATTATTTTTCAATATGGGGAAAATAAATAGAATGTCTCATGGAGTATTTATAATACAAAACTTACAAGATAAAGATTGTCTCAGCTTGCTTTGTTGTCTGGTTCTAGGTGTAGAAAACGATAAGTCATAGGATTATTGAAAGATAGAGTAACTACTTGAATCTAAGAAAGATATGTACAAGAGAAAATTAAAAAATAACAGGTGGATAGTTTAGATATGGAAATATCCTCACTTGTTGAGACCGTCTCGTATGTATTTTAGATATCCTAGATATCAGCTCCGCTATATTGTATTAATAAAGCAATCAAACCTAAATAGTCATTTTTTTGAGAATTAATTTTTGTGTGGTGTTATCATATGATAATTTTTTATAAATTTACTTTTGAATATATTTGTATTTTATTTTAAAAATGGCAAACACACAATACAAAACCGATTCATTGAAAGAATTAAATTCAAGGCTCTTGTCTGAGATAGCCGAACTTAGGAAGAAGTTTGCTGAGATCGAGGGCAAGAATGCAGAACTTGAAGTTGAGAACACGAAGCTGAGACAGGTTATTGATGAGAATAGTAAACGTGATGCTAGAGTTGGGGAACTAGAGCAAAAGAATATAGAGCTTGAGAATAGACTCGCTATATTAGAACAGGGAGAAAAAAGTATTTCTACGGATGTTTCGCACTCTTCAGTAAATTCTAATGATACTCATGAACAGGTCTGTGACTGCCTCCGCCACATCTCCCGCAGAAACCATATCAAAAGCGGAAAAGGATAATTATTTCGATTATTTGTATGGGATCGTTACAACAGGGCGCGACTGGCACTTTTTGCTATACAGTCCAGGGCAGATTTCAAAAGCAAATGATATTGCCCTTACTATCGAATTTACCAAGAAGGCCTTGGAAAAAAATTCGGAGGAATATAACACTTTACGTAAGAATGTAAAAAAGGTATTGGATGTTATCTTTGGTTTGTTAAAGGATAGGGCATGTGTTGAAAAATCGCCGGCTAAAAAAAGGGCTAGGGTTGGTTGAAGGATACCGCGCCAAAAAATGATATAGTCAGGGTCTGTACCCAGCTTTATTTTTTTGATTAATAAAGAAATGAATTTTTTAACGCGTAACTAATCACCTCTGAGATATGCAATTTCGGGTTCGCAAATTAGTAAGTCTTTCCGAGTGATTTCATATATAACTGTTGATGCCAGAAAATGTATATAGGTAAGGGAGACGAGAAATCAAGGGAATTTTCCCCAAAATCCATACACTATGAAAACTAACCATCTCCAGGCACTCGCATTAAATTTTCTAAAAAACATACCAATGAGGGGTAGACATCCCGACACTAAGTAATTGCCACAAATTTAACGGGCAAATTTTGTCGGTTCCATTTCGAGCATTTACGGTACTCTCCTGTGGCCATATACTTCATCGAACTTACATCCAGGAAATTATTATGGGAACTGAAGCAAAATGTCCGGTATGTAAACTGCGCATCGAAATTATCTAGGCAGTAAAGTCTCAACGAACGCAATCAAATACTATAATATTACAAGACGATCAGACTCCACCACCTACTGCACCCATACAAAGCCAGTCAAATCGAACCAACGATGAGCAAGATCGAGAACCAGCACCTCTGAATAAAGTACAAGGTTTGATAACCGAACTATCCACACCCACTAAAGGTGAATCTGACGATGCCGACGAGAATGAGATACCTGATGGATCATTATCCCAAGGTTTGGCCCGGCTATACCAAAAAGCGATCAAAGCAGAAAAACGCGTGACTATGCATATCAAGGGGAAATTTGGAGGTGTTACTATGCGGAAGGGTTTGAAAAATGGGTTAAAGAAATTATGAATGGTGACAATAGAATCGGTGATAGACAGGCAAGATCTCAGGTATATAATGAAACCTTCCAAACATAACTAAGGTCAATTTGCGAAAAAAAACCCAGAAGGCAAGAGCTATCTATACTTTGTTTAGTCAGATTGGAGTGAAAAAAATCAAACGAATTCAGACATATAGTGCAAACACAATTTCGAATCTGATGGCACACAAATCCAAAGTGTTGTGGATAGCTTCTCAGGAATTTTGGCGATCGTGAATAGTTGTTCACGCAAACGTGATAATAAAGGGATTTTTTTCTTAGCCAATCGTAAAAGTCTTGTACGGGTTCGGATTTTCAGGTGGCGAGAGCCAGTACATTCATGCTAAAACACATGGATCAAGATTTCATCGACTCATTCGGCGATAATAAAGGGACAATGATGATTAACTCTCATGATCGAATTAAAATATTAACACCCTACAGAGTGGCACACTAATTCTCATCGGGTAACTTATAAATTTGTAATAAATCAAAGCGAAGGGATTTGTGAAGTTAAAAATTGATGTTTTTCACTTTTCCTGATAAAGTAAAACTGACTGCTGAACTTCATATAAGTCGATGGTAATGTTAGTACCCATCAATACAGCAGGAGGTGTTGGTAATGGTGTATATGCAATGGCAGGAACCGGCGGATCATAAAACACCTCGCGAACGGGCATGTTGATTAAATAGTTGAGGATGTTTGGGGCATTACAACCATTAGGAGATCCGTCTTCGTTGATAGTCCCAAATTGCCACTGCCATATAAAAAAAAAATTGAGTATTACGAGAAGTATAAATTTCTCTCTAGACAAGTAAACTTTACCTTTTGCTTCTGCGCCCCTTGTCGCCAAAGAACTGCCTAATATTGAAAAACTATTAAGATGAAAAACATATAATAATGAAACAGCGAGATATACCTTCATCGCCCGATCTTTGTGTCCTTGTGCGTTGCGTGTATTTTTTGTTTCGTGAAGCTTTATGCCGATTACAGCTCGTACGTACAGCTGTTGCATCCATAGCTTGCACTTTTCTTTTAAGTCGGAGTATCCTTGGGCCATGGCTACTTCAAGGATTATCCTAGCATGAGGGTTTCCCTACATAAACTATATTAGTATCACGAAAATATCAACCTACGACCAATTCAAAGTACCCTTTTGTCGCTAGGGGGAGGACCAGGGTGTGGGACAGGTGGTGGTAGAACGAAAAGAGGATTTGGATAGACAGCGAGATCTGGCATTATATAGGATCCATCTCCACTTGGCGATTGGTGTGCTGTGGGAAGGACAGAAATCAATAAGCCAAAGATCAAGTAAACTGGAAACAATTCCCTTACCTGGCTGTCCAAGAATTGATAGTGGAGAAGTACGAATGGGTGCGCCACCGTTTGGAACGCGGAAGCGATTTCCCACCTCCTCGACGACAGCCTCATGTTCACTTGTGGTCATGTCAACTATATATATAGTGCCATTTTTATACTCAATCTTGTATCCAAACTTGTCTTTGCATTCGATGAAAGAGTTGAAAGCTTGCACGGATACATCTGAGGCAAGCGGATAAGGAAGCCTGCAATCCATATGGGTCAATAGACAACTCTCAAAATGAATCAGTGTGATGCCTGCCCACCTGGTCTCACTTAACGGCTTGTGTGGTAAATGAATCTTCCCTGAAGAAAATGCTTTTTTCACCAAAGCGCCAAATAGTTCAAATTTGACCATTTGTCTTCGTTTTTGAGCTGTCAAAAAGATTTGATTCACGTGTGATACATGTCCTAGATTTTATAAAGCATTACTCGTGATCTTCGACTTTTGATCTATATCTATATTACATAATATCACGGAAGGGAGTGACAGGTTATGATTCATACAAAATTAAGATCTTTAGCTGGTATTTATACGAGTCGGAATTTGTCGCATCGTATTGCTCTCGATGCCAAACTTTTTCTGAATTACGATTACGTCTTTCTCCAGGTACAGGAATTCATATTAACGAAAGTTATCTTCGTAGAGGTTTTCTTATCTCAAGTTACAGTAAGGAACTGTGGTAAGGAAGAAGATACAAAAGCTAAATGTTTTTGAATATCCGATAAATCTCTAACCAATTTATATATCTGATCTCGGTAATCTCGAATTGTTCATTTATAGTTTCTTTTGTTATAGTCGGCATCATGAGTTATACTAAGACAATATATTTAAGAGAGAAAAATAATACTACTCTGATTCCATCTCATATACACCCGAATAAACTTTTAAACATATCCGTATCTTGTAAAACAATGGCAAATACACAGTTTAAAATTAATTCGTTGCAGGAATTAAATTCTCGACTCATTACCACGATTGCTGAGCTTAGAAAGGAGAATGCTGAAATCAAGGCCGAGAATACAAAATTAAAACAAGATAAAGAAGAAATCGAGGCCAGGTTTGTAAAACTAGAGCAAAGCGACAAAGAAAATGTTGATCTTAGAGCTGAAGTAGCAAAATTAAGGCATGACATCGAGGAAATCAAACTACAAATCCGAGTTAATACTAACGAATGGGATATGCCTTCTTTTGCAGAGCAAAACCACTTACGTGGCACAGAAGATATTTCACACTCATCAACCAGTTCACCATTACCAGTAACCTCCCGTCGCCTATTCAGAATAGCACCAAACCGATAGCAAATACAACTGCTGTCACATCTAAGATCGAACCTATATCATTGGAAGATAAGGTGATCGATGAATTCCTGGATGAGGTGCATAAAGAAAAGGTAA